CTGGGTAGGGCTGATGAAAAGAGTTGGAGATGGCACTCATGTGGCACAATAGTGAATAATTGCTATCAGGACTGACTGTGAGTGTTGGAAATGTAGAGGTAGACATTTGTAGCAAAAGGAAGGGAGTGGTTGATTTTGCAGTCCAGGAATAGAGGTCCATGGGATCATCAAGGGAGAAGAGCAGAATGTGGGGCCCTACCCAGATAAGCAGTGAAGCCAGAGATGGAGGCGGAGACGATGATGTAGAGAGATGGAACAGCTGGGGACTCTAGACCCAGAGATGGAGAGGGGCTGTGTGCTGAAGACTGGGGAAGGCTTGCAGGGTATACCCTTCTGTTGGTTGATGATGCATGGAAGGGATCGTAACCATGACACTGAAATGATATACAATAGAATGAATGTAAAGCTCATGTTCTCCAATGTAAATGATCACATAATTCACAATAAAACAATGACCATGTCAGAAACCCTGTGAAGCAGTTCTACTCTGCCCTATAGGGTTGGTATGAGTCAAAATCAACTCAGTGGCAATGACTTTGGTTTGTTTTTGTTTTTATACCGATGTTGTCTCAGTTTAGAATATGAATTGTATCTTCTCAGGCTTAATATGGATGAATAAGAAATAAGAAAACAAAACCCCCTGTGATTGAGTCAATTATGACTCATTGCTACCCTTTAGGACAAAGTAGAACTGTACCTTAGAGTTTCCAAGGTAAGGAGTCCTGGTGTGGCACTGTGGGTTAGTTAATGTGCTAAACTGCAAAATCAGTTTGAACCACAAAGTCGGTGGCTCAAGCTCACCAGCCGCTTCTCTGAAACCCTATACAGGGTCGCTATGGGTTGGAACTGACTCGACAGAACTTAGCAACAATAACAAATCCTTACAAGAGCTGACTGCTACTTCTTTCTCCCATGGAGTAGTTGGTGAGTTCCAACGGCAAACCTTTTAGTTACCAGTTGAGCATTTAACCACTGCAATACCAGGACTCCTCAGGCAGTTAATAAGGATAGAAAACTGCTCTGGTGATGAAACATGAAGACCACGCACCTGGAAAAATATTTGAGAGGAAATGAAGGAATACTATTCCTGCAAATTTTCTCTCTCTGAAATTCAGAGTTTGGCCCTCACCGATCCTTTTATCCATAATTTTTGTTCTTCTTGCCCTTTTGTTCAAGAGAAATTTACATTTGTAATTATGGTGGTGTGTCTCTGTGGGTTAATGAGCCAGACTGCAAAGCCATTTGAACTGCAAGGTCAGCAGTTCAAGCT